CTAGCTAGCTAGCTAGCTATGATTGTTCACGGGGTTGCTGCTGTTGTTGTTCAAGCAATGCGCTGAATAACAATATCTAACCAGCTAGCTAGCTAGCTGGGTAGCTAGCTAGCTGGGTAGCTAGCTAGCTGGCTAGCTAGCTACCTAGATAGCTAGCTAGCTGGGTAGCTAGCTAGCTTGATAGGATTATTGTTGATGCAGGTGGGAGCAGAGACGGTGCCCCCCCTTTGTATTTGTTGTTGTGTGTTTGTTTGTGTGTTGTTTCAGATAGAGATAAGGAATCAAATATATTATCTTTATCTTTTCTTTTATTTTTATGTTTTATAATATTATTTGTTGCTTTTGTTGTTGGTTTTGGTATTGGATGCTCGCTAGTGAAACAAAGGCCGCAGCGAGGGAAAGCTGTATTTTCTGTGCTTCCTATGAGCAGCAGAACGAGTGTTTCAGGCTCTTGGGGTGTATACGGAGCTAGTAATAGTAATATACAATTAAAAAGATATTTTAATGATAATAAAGAAAAAAAAAAGAAAAAAAAACACAAAGAAACAGAAAAAATACAACAAAATATGCTCACACTCACCATACTATACCCCCATCAACCAACCGAAACGCTCGCTCTGCTTGAGGGAAATTTCAAATTAATTTTGCCAGTATATAATGCAAGTGAGAAAAAAATAAATATAAATAAAAATAAAAATAAAAAAATAAAAAAAAATAAAAAAAAAGAAAGAGAAATATGAATACGGATTGAAATAAATACAGATACACAGATACAAACACACACATATAAAAACAGAAACAAAAATGCAAACACCGAAAGCAATAAAAACACAAACATAAATGCATATAAAATAAAAACAATTAAACAGAAACAAAAATATAAACACATATAGAAACAGAAACAGAAACAGAAACAGAAACACAGATAGAAACAAATTAATTAAAAAGAAAGAGAAAAAGATATATAAACACAGATACAAACAGAAACACAAACATAAACACAGATAAAAACTAATTAATTAAAAAAAACAGAAAAAAAAATACAAGTGCAGATAGAAACAAATCAATTAAACAGAAACAGAAATATAAACACAACCAGAAACAAAACAACTTAAAGAGAAAACGAAACAAAAAAATAAATAAATAAAAATTAATAAAAAAGAAAAAAAAAACACATAAAGACAAAACAGCGACTAAGCTCTCTCTCTTTTGCATTTCTTCTCCTTATTGCTGCTCCATCTATTTATAAATATAAATATAAATATAAATATAAATATAAATATAAATATAAATATAAATATAAATATAAATACAAATTAAATATAAATATAAATATAAATATAAATATAAATATAAATATAAATATAAATATAAATATAAATATAAAAATATAAACATAAATACATAAATATAAAAATATAAACATAAATATAAATATAAATACAAATACAAATATAAACACAAATATAAATATAAATATAAATATAAATAATATTTATTTATTTTTTTTTATGTATACAGGTTTCTTTGGGGGTAAGGAGGCTGGGGTGTATGTGCTTGAATACATCCCTGCCTCTCGCATTGGCAGCACAGCAGAGGAGTGGTGTTTTTCTCCTTTTTCTTCTTTTTCTGCTGCTGCTGCTGCTGCTGCTGCTGCTGATGCTGCTGCTGCTGCTGCTGCTGCTGATGCTGCTGCTGCTGCTGCTGATGCAGCTATACCTGTAGCACCGAACGCAGCAGCAATTGGAGAATCCTCAGCAGCAGCACAATACAAAGCAGAAGCAGCAGCAGATGCAGCAGAAAGCAGTGCTGATGCTGCAGCAGCAGCAGCAGCAGCAGCAGCAGCAGCAGCAGCAGCAGCAGGAGAGGCAGCAGCATCACTGACAACGGCAAATATAACGGAAATAAAAAACAAAACAGCGGGAACAGCAGCAACAGCAGCAGCAACAGCAGCAGCAGCAGCAGCAGCAGCAGATGAATATATGGAGCCTGAAGATGCATATATCTCTGTTGCTGATGCTGCAGCAGCAGCAGCAGCAGCATTTGGGGTTCTGGGGCCCTCATTTGAGTTGCTGCATGCAGCGATAAAGAAAAGCTATAATTCTTTCATAGAACCAAGACACCCCAATGCAGAACAGCAGCAGCAGCAGCAGCAGCAGCAGCAGCAGCAGCAGCAGGATGCTGCGGCTGCAGCAAATGAAGCAGGAGCAACACTCCTCATCTCAGGCTCCTTGCTGCATTTGCAAGCGGAGAAAATATTAGAGGTAAGAAAAAAAAAAAAAAAGGGTTTAGGGTTTAGGGTTTAGGGTTTAGGGTTTAGGGTTTAGGGTTTAGCGTCAGGGTATAAACATCTAATAACAAAAACAAGAAAGGATAATAATTATAATTAAAGGAAATAATAATAATAATATATAAATATATTATATAAATATTATATGTATATATGTATATATATACATATATATATATATATATATATATATATATAAATATATTTTATATATAATATATATATATATATA